AAGCAAGCTATATGACTAACCATGAAAGAGCCTAGTTATATAAAGTATGTAATAAAGGAATTTGGTGGAACCATTAATGGCTACATTTTAGATGGGTACTTAATAGTGTAGAAAATGTGTTATACACATGGGGGAGAAAAAAAAAAAAAACAAACCAAACTCACTGCTGTGGAATCGTTTACGACTCATAGCGACCCCTACTTGGGTTTCTGAGGCAGTATCTCTGCAGAAGTAGATTGCCCAATTTTCCTTCCGAGGAGTGGCTGGTGGGATTAAGCGCCAGCCTTTTGGTCAGCAGTCAAATGCCTTAGGCACTACACCACTAGAACTCATGGCAAAAAAAAAAAAAAAAAAACCGTACAACACAATGCCACTTTTCTTATAAAGAAAAGAGTGGATGCAAATACATGAAAATAATAATAATTGTTATCTCTCTATAGGCCGTAAATAAATGTTTCCAAAAGTAGATTGCCTCATCTTCCTCCTGCGGAGCAGCTGGTGCATTTGAACCACCCACCTTCTGGTTGGCATCCAAATCCCTTACCTACTGTGCCACCAGAGCTCCTTTATCTCCCTATAGTGGATTTATAGGTAATTTAAATTTTCTTCTTTGGGTAATCTGTTGTTCTATAAATTCTTCTGAATTTAAATGCACTACTTATAATCGTAGATGTCCTAGGTAGTACAAAGGTTAGCAGGCTTAGCTACTAACTGAAAACGCTGAAGGTTCCAGTCCACCCCAAAATGGCTTTGAGGAAAAGCCTGGCAATCTATTTCCAAAACTGGAGCCTTGAAAACTCATAGGAGCACAGTTCTACTCTGCTATATATGGGGTCACACTGTCAGTGTTTATAATCCATAAGCTGGTGTCACAATGGTTAAACACTCAGTTGCTAACCAAAAGTTGGGAGGTTCGAACCCACCCAGTGGTTCTAGAGGAGGATGACCTGGTGATCCGCTTCTGTAAAGGTTATAGCCAAAAAAAGCCCATGGGGAAGTTCTACTTTGCCTCATGGGGTGGCAGGGGGTTGGAATGGACAGGATGGTCCCCAACAACAACAAAATAATATATTTTTCAGTCATGTTTCTGTAACAGATGACTAAAGTCACTGTATGTACATCTGTGCCTATAACTGCGGAGGTTGCATCAGCTGATCTCTGTGGTCCTTTTTGTTTCTAAGTGATGCAGAGATGTAAGTACACACAGATAGACAGACACATACGAAAAGCTTGTTAAAGAGACATTATAAAGCACATGGTATCACAGGCCGAAAGAATGAAAGTTCCAAGGGGTCAGTGTCAGGGTGACTCTTAGAGGAAATCTCCTATGGTCCTAACTCTGATGGGCACCTAGGCTGGGTGTGGATATCTGAGACACTATCATTACCTTTTAAAGTAATGATGATGAAGATGATAATGAACAAAGCAGTAAGTGTAAGTACAAGTGAGTGAAGTGCTTACTTTGTGCCAGTCACTAAAGGCTTTAGACACATAGTGTTTTAGGTACCATGATGCCCACTTCACACATAAAGAAAGTTATAGAGATTAAGTAAAATGCTCATGGTCTCATGAGTATTAACACTACAATATCCCTTTTATTTTTGGACTTTTAAACAGTCTTCATCTTTTATTTTTTTAACTGATACAAGGGTTAATTTCTACGTAGAGGTTTTTTTTCTTGGAGATAAGAATTTCCCTTGTAACCTCTGAACTATTTAACATTTACTAACAATGCCCAAATTCCCTTTGCTATTTCAAACTATCAGATTACCTGATCTTTTCTAAAAGATAAAGATTATGTTCATTAACCATAAGTGAATGTTACATGAAAATTATTTATTTTATTGTTGAGAAGACTTTAAAAACTAAGAATAAACTTCTTTTTCACTCATGTTATGGGGAAGTGGTGGGGAGAAATCTTCATGATAAGTAAATTAAACTTGCCTTTCAGCCCTTCAAATACTTGATCAAACCTTTACCAAATCTGATAAGAATGGAATAGCAATGGTGATCCCCACTGAGAAGAATTATTCTCCAGATTGTAGCTCAGATTCTTAGGTTGCAATGGCTAAATTAAGCCAAAACGTAACCAAAATGATTAAAAGAACGAAATTGATCTTTTGAGAACAGGGTCCTAAGTAATGTACTTTGGAATACAGAAGAAATGAAACTGCCCATTAATTAGGATAATGATCAGTTTTTTTTTTTTTTTTCTTAAATTCACTCAGGAGGAAAATAAGGGGTAACAGAGATGAAGGGTTTAAATTCCCTACAAGGACAGCTCTCCTATTAATGAAGGTTGTTAAATACGGAAACAGAATTCTGGAAAGGACTGAAATATTTATGTAAATTATCACTACACAAATAAGATACATAAACCTCTTGAAATCATCTTAGTTTTTCAGAAAAAAAAAAAACATAATTGTATGTTGTATTATGTTTGTCTTTGTTTTTTTTTTTTTTTTTTTTTTTCCAGTTGAGACTATACTGCAACTATATTTTTCCTCTTATACAGACACTCAAATAATGGACACTGTAACACTTTATAAATGTGGGAACAGATAACTATGGAGATTTTAAAATTACAGTTCCCCCAAAAAAAGACTTGTAAGTAGAAGACGTCAACTGCAAATTTCATGCTGAAATATGGTCCTGTCCAAAGGCAGGGATGGCTGGATTAGAGGCTTAGAACTTCCAAGCCGTCATGGCTAATTTGCTCAGGACTGGACAGTGAGGTCAAGGGGAAATGTCACTGCCATTCTAGCATGCAGCTTGCCTGAGAAATGCTATTCTCTGAGCTCTAGGTTTGAGTAATTCTTTAGATGAATGTTTTAGACATAACCTGTTCTCAAAATTCACGTAAATTTTGCTAATTTATTTGATGAAATTAATATTCGGGAAGGATTTTTCTCTCAACAACATGCCAGCTAATATTTACAATGTAAATAAACCTGCTGATGTCAAGCCTATTCCCATGAGCAAAGAGTAGAACTGTACTCCATAGGCAACACTTAGGAAGCAGAATGCCAGGTCTTTCTTCCAAGATGCCTCTGAGTGGGTCCAAACCACCAACTTTTGGTTAGTAGTCAAGTGGCTAACTGTTTTCACCACCCAGGGACTCCTGAAGTATAAGCAGGGATGTACAATTGCATTTTGGGACCTTGGAGTCTAAGGATAATTTTCCCATGAAGAACATACTGCCAAAATACTTGTATATTACAAAAACATTTGAAAAACTAATTTGTACTTCAGTAGGTTTTCTTCTCTAAACAATAATATAACAACAATGTGGACCAAGATATCATAGCCATTGAATTGATTCTGACTCATAACAACCCTTAGGAGAGAGTAGAACTGCACCTTAGGGTTTCTAAGGCTATAATTTTCACAGAAGTCAACGGCCATATCTTTCTCCTGTGCAGCAGTTGGTGAGTTTGAACAACAGACCACTTGGTTAGTAGCCAAATGCTTTAAGCACGGCACCACCAGGGCTCTCCACATTAAAATACATTTGAAAAGAAAAATCATTTGTACTTCGGTAGCTCTTTTCAGTAAACAATAACAAATCAGAACACCAACGTGGACCAAGATGTCTTCTGAGTAAGCTGCAAATAAAATTCTTCCAGAGATGAAAAGAAATTTGAAAACCAACTAAAGCTAGTGTTTTCTTTTACTTTTGCAATAATTGACTCAAGTCATGCTTGATTTAACACCTCTGAATGAAAGAATGTAAGAACATCCTCCTCAAAAAGAAGCCAGCTTCTCTCAGGGCTCAGCCTCTGATTTAAGAGTTCTGTCAGGATGCCTTTATGTTGCCTACACAAACTAATATATCCTTGCTTTGCTCACAGGGCAATTTAGTTTTTGGAAAATCTCTCTTGATTTAACACTTCTCTTGAATATGACCTCCCACAAATTTTCAGCTAATGAAGAGAAAGAAGCTCCATGGAAGATACATTTTGTTTCTGAAGGTGATGCCAGATATATATGTCGTTCTAAAAAATAGTTACAGGATAAGCCCTATAATGTTTCCAGCCATTTAATTGCTGTGAAAAGTCTAAATAATTTCCATTCCATTTATTCTTTCTACTTGAGAGATAACATGATTAAACAGAATTAGCTCAAGTCAAGACTAAACAGCATATGTATGTGATAAATTAAATCTAACATTATAAAAGAAGAAAAAGAAGTGAGAAAGGGAAAGAAATGATCTAATCACGAGATGCATTTTATTATCAACTTCTGCTTAAAATGAGCACATCTGGGAAACAAATGCACAAGCACACCCCCTACTAACACACATAAACACCACTGAGGACTGTTTTTGAAGTTTAAGACACAGTAGCTTTCACAGGATGGCTATTTACATGACCGGAACTATGACAAGAGACCATTAACATTTTGATTTTCTAATATGATGAATGACTGCTTAAGGCAAATATGCTTTTCTCTTAGAAAATGTGAGCTACAGTAACTGGACTAAAATAATTTAAGTAAAGGAAGAATGTATCTTGACAGCTAGGCATAATTCTACAAACATTTTTATGTTGCTTACATTAGTACTTTTTCTTTTATCTTTCCTTTAGACTCCCAGGCACTTTTACACAAGCTTGTTAAATATAAAATGGCACAAAGCTGCTCATTTGCTAAGAAACTTATTTAAAATGAAAAGCAAATACACATGGAAAGTCCTATGCCTACCATTCAAGTAATCTTTGAATCATATGCTTTCATTATTAAGAAAAGAAATAAATCTGTGCAACCAAGCAGACAATCCAAAAGAACCTAAACTCATGTATTCTTGGCTTGGGTTTTAATTTGCCTTTACCTAAATTTCAAGAGTAACAGTGAGGCAGCAAACCACAGTGGGAGTTATAATTAAGAAGCAGCAATTGGCTAAGTGATTCTTTTGTTCAAAGAGTTATCTCTGCCCAGGATTAATCTTTTAAATGTACCCCCACAGAAGGCTCACACTTTGCGAATACCCTTCTTCTACATACTGGGAATTTGCTGGATCCTGTGGACAACGACAAATGCATCAGACAGCCCCACTTTCACTGGATGATTGGTGGAACTTATCTGTGTGACCAAGACAGGAATCTGGAAAAGAAGAAGCAGATTGTTATGTATTAGATTTGAATTTCATTTGGGGGTGGGCAGGGGTGTATGACCATCTCGTTTAGTGAATAAAATCAGATGTTGGGTTTGAAATACTAGAGTGCGGGAAAGAAATATTAGAGAAAAAAGACAGAATATCTAAAAACAGTGTCATCATAGTTTAGTGTTATTTGATGGGCAAAAGTGACAAGTGAGTTCCTCATCTCAGGATGGTAACTTGAAGTTAAAAACAACAGCTTCTCAGAGAAATCTCCCTAACTGACGCTGAATACTGAAAACTACCACCTTTAACTTGTTAGAAGCTGTCAAGTCAGCTCTAACTCATAGTGACAAAATAGAGCAAAACGTTGCTCGGTCCTATGCCATCTTCATGATCGTTGGTTATATTTGGGCTCATTTTCCAGCTACATCGGATAATATACTATTTTAATGTATTCAATCTTCATTGCTAATTTTCAGAAATACAAAGCCCCCTCTCTTCCTAATCTGTCTTAATCTGAACGCTCTGTTGGAAACTGTTCACAACGGATGACCTTGCTGGTATTTGAAATATCAGTGGCATAGCTTCATATCAAAGCAACAAGCAAGCCACCACAGTAAAACAAATGGAGAGACACATGGTAGATCACCTATAAAGGCACACCATACATACATTTGATGCTGGCTTTAATTTCAGGAATAGAGATTTTTCCCTTACTAATTGTTTTCCTAAAAGACTTGTTATAGGTTTAATTTTTCAAATTATTTTAAAATATTTGTTTCTAGATAGGCTTATTGGTATAAAACCTATAAAAAGACAAATAAGTGTACTGTTGAATATATATATTTAACAATGTCATTATTGGTTAATATATTGAATTTGGCAATTGTTAATGGGTGTCAAGCTTCACCATTCTGGTTGAAACTCACAAGGAAAATTTATGGGTTATTATGGTTTATCTTAAGGTCATATTTCCTAAATTTGAGCGCCCCCCACCAAAAAACACAAAACAAAACAAAACAAAAAAAACAAACTCACTGCCATTGAGTCAATTCTGACTCATAGTGACCCTCATTGGATTTCCAAAGCTGGGGGAGGGCTTGAACTGCTCACTTTCTGGTTAGCAGCCAAATGTCTTATCTAGTATGCCACCAGAGCTCATTAAGTTTGAACCCCAGCAGAACTGAAGTCTAAACATTGTTGATATTTCTAATATTTATAGTTTAAAAAAATTAGGAAATGTTGAGGTATATTGAAAATGACACAATAATTATAAATGAGACAAATTCTTGGGGCCAATATTTCTAGAGAGATAAAAGATTCATTGGGGATATGATTGCTCTCTTTATTAGTGGTGTAACAGAAATAAAAATAGGAACGATACTATTTTCAATACACAAACAATGTAAAGGTGTTTGGCAATATTATTTCTGTGTTCCCAGTTCCTATAGAGAATTAAGAAGTATTGTTATATTTGTTGTTGTTGTTGTTATGCGCCATCAAGTTGCCCCCAACTCATAGCGACTCCTCCTTCGGTTTCCAAGCTGGTATCACTACAGAAGTAGATTGCCCAATCTTCCTTCCGAGGAGTGACTGGTGGGTTTGAACTGCCAGCCTTCTGGTTAGCAGTCAAGTGCCTTAGGTACTATGCTACCAGAACAACAGAAACAAATTAAACAAAGATTTCTACTCCTAAAAGCTCATTTACTTAATGGAAATCTGATATACTTTATTTAGAGATTTTCTAACCTACGCATATTAGTCAGTATATGTTATAGTAATATAGCATTTACAATAAAATATACATATACATATATATATATATAAACCAAGTCTTTTTGGTACAGTGACTGTGTATTCTTTCCACCTTTTTTTGACATTTCCTGCATCATTCAATATTTTGTCCATAGAATCTTTCAATATTCCAACTCAAGGCTTGAATTTTCTCTTCAGTTCTTTCAGCTTGAGAAATGCCAAGCATGTTCTTCCCTTTTGTTTTCTAATTCCAGGTCTTTGCACATTTCATTATAATAATTGACTATGTCTTCTGAAGCTGCTCTTTGAAATCTTCTGTTCAGCTCTTTTATCTTGCCATTTCTTCCATTTGCTTTAGCTACTCTCCATTCAAGGGCAAGTTTCAGAATCTCTTCTAACATTGTGGTCTTTTCTTCTTTTCCTGTGTTTTTAATGACCTTGTGTTTTCCTCATACTCATAGATGATGTTTTTGATGTCATCCCACAATTCCTCTGGTTTTCAATCATTGGTGTTTAAGGCATCAAATCTATTCTTTAGATGGTCTTTAAATTCAGGAGTGATATAATCAGGGTCATATTTTGGCTCTCGTGGACTTCTTTTAATTGTCTTCAGCTTCAACTTGAACTTGCATATGGGCAGTTGATGGTCTGTTCCAATCAGCTCCTGGTCATGGTTTGGCTGAAGATATTGAACTTCTCCACTGCCTCTTTCTACAGATGTAGTTGATCTGATTCCTGTGTACACCATCTAGTGAAGTCCACATGTATATCTGCCATCCATGTTGTTGAAAAAAGGATCTGCAATGAATAAGTTGTTGCTCTTGCACAATTTTATCATGGCATCTCTAGCATTATTGCTATCACCAAGGCCATATTTTCCAACTATCAGTGATTCTTCTTTGTTTCCAACTTTTGCATTCCAATCACCAGTGACAATCAATACACCCTGACTGCATGTTTGGTCAATTTCAGACTGCAGAAGTTTTTAAAAAATATTCAATTCCCTGGTCTTTGGATTGGGTGGCTGGCATGTAAATTTGAATAAAAGTAGTATTAACTGGTCTTCCTTGTAGGCATATAGATATCATCCTAATCACTGACAGCATTGTACATACTTTAGGATAGATCTTGAAACATTCTTTGTGACAAAGAATGTCATGCCATTCCTCTTCAATTTGTTATTCCTGGCATAGCAGATCATATGGATGTCTGACTCAAAATGGCCCAAACCAGACCATTTCAACTCACTGTTGTTGTTGTTGTTGTTAAGTGCCGTTGAGTCGTTTCCGACTCATAGCGACCCCATGCACAGCAGAACGAAACACTGCCCGATCCCGCGCCAGCCCCACA